CTCAAATCCTATGATCTTCCATCCGCACATGAGATAATACTTAATCCAGAGAAAAATTGGAAACGATTGACTCACGATGCAATAGACACGACCTGGAAAAATAGATGGACTGAAATTGCTAGAAGCAAAACAACACTCAAATACATGGAAGTTAAAAACTGGAATTTTAAAAAACCAAACTTCTGTTTGGCAAGTGTCAGAGATCACAAAAGAGATGTTAGCAAAGGGATAATAAAATCCAGGATACTTACAGGAACTTACAAAACCCAAAGTATTACCAACCGATTTGACGAAACAAAATCTGCAGAATGTAAATTGTGCATGGTAGGACCTGAGGATTATAAACACTTCCTAGTTACGTGTGAAAGTCTGAATATTGTTAGAAAAATTCACCGCAACAGACTCAAATCCCCACTGGAGGATAATCAGATCCCTTATTGCAGTATATTTAATTCTGATGAGGACCTTCTTGAATTCTTAGTTGACTATTCTAGGAACAACCTTATATCAGTGTCTCAGCTGAGAGATATAGAACGAATCTGCAAAGACTGGAGCTATGCATTGCATGCTGAAAGAGCCCAACTTCTGGAAAACAAATGAACAATCATTTTAAAGTTCTTGATGCTTAACAATTACGGGTGGCTGTCAGTCATGGGAATATAGTCAGACTATTTGCTGGGTATTAAATGAAGATTCAAGTCGGTATAAAGTTTAACAATTTAATAAACGATCCAACAAGAATATAAACGATGTTACAATATTGAGTCCGGTGTTTACGGTTCGAGAACCTTTCCAAAGAAGTACATAAAACAGAATAATAAAGAAATACATGTAACTACGGATTAAGCAATTATTGTCCATTGTTTAGACAATCTGCTAAAACTGTCTTTGACACGTAGATACGAAGTCCATTATCGGATTAGTAGAAACATACATTTTTAACCAAAAGATAATTGTGTGGGAATATTTGAGCTAATAATGACAATTAAAAGATATAATAATTAAAGTCAGAAAGATGATAGTCCAAATAATTAACATGCTTTTCATCCGGTCATAGGAATGTAACAAGTATTATACTACGTATGATGTATATACTTAATTAAATAGTAAGTGATATAGAAAATTACTTCTAAGTTAAAACTTTAACTAGAGTATATGAATATAAATGACCCTTGTAAATAACCTTGTAGATCTTAAATTGTGTTACTGACCATTACTGTTTTTAAATCTAATCTTTAGAGAGTTTTTTACCATTTCAGATTTTAAGTACATATAAACTATATATGAAACCACACAAGTACATAATTTTACCCATTACTAATACTGAATAGTAATTCATATCACCTTCTTTTTTTTCTGAGGGAATTTTACAAACAACTGATAAGCTAGTATTGTATCCATTTTTAAATAAATGTAAAATTTTGTAAGCTCACATCAATCTGAGTATGAATAGTGTAAATACAAGTTCCTGTTTTTTAATTTTTAATTTTGTCGTATTCTAACTCTGTTACTATTATTAATTAAATTTTAACTAGTACATAAAAATTTCTAATAACGCATTTTTAAAAATAATTTTTTTTTAAATGCGGTGACCCTGCAAATAGGGTGGACTTCTTGAAGAAGAAGAAGAAGAAGAAGAAGAAGAAGAAGAAGAAGAAGAAGAAGAAGAAGAAGAAGAAGAATTTCCAGTAACAAGTCAGGTTTGCGTGTAAAAGTTGTGATGAGATCAACCAATGCCCTTGCTATTTGTATAGAAAGGTATTTCATAAGCATGTATTTAGGCATGGATGCTTTCTTTGTAAGTTTCCTCCAGAAACGCTTTTTGTGCGCGCGAGACACAGTATTGATCGGTTGGTGGATGAGATCTATTGAAACATTGCATATTCTCAGATTACACGAGATATTTTAAAACATTACATAATCTGAGACTGCAAGATATATTTTTTTCAATTGGATGGGATTAGGAATGTTCTTCTGCAGAAATCAGAATTTGTAGTAACATAATAGCAGGTGTCTTATGAAACAGGCTTGTCTTATTCTTTTGAAGAACAACGGAGGACAATTTCTCTCTCTCCGTAGGTTCCTACCTATATGCATGTATTATTGCTTACACATTGTGCTAGTGACCTAATACGATATATACGGACGGGGTCAGTAAATCAAATACAGGCAAGAGCAAGCCAAGCTCTCGCCCCATATGGAATTTTTTCTTCCCGTGTATATATCGTCATAGGTCACTACTACACTGTGTAATGAATTTATCGTGCGACTATCAACGAATTATTCACTTAAAGAGTGTCCCTCTCTGGAACACTGATACAAACTTAAGTTTTACTTTTATATATAAGAACTTATGGAATCATCCATGGAGTCAGTAAACTTCATAGTGATAGTTCATTCAGCTTTTAGACTTTTTTTCAACTCTTTTTTATCACACCCAGTTTTTGGTGGGGTTCGTGTTGCTCAGTCTTTAGTTTTCTATGTTGTGTCATCTGTACTATTATTTGTCTGTTTGTCTTTTTATTTTTTGCCATGGCGTTGTCAGTTTGTTTTTGACCTATGATTCCTATGAGTTTGACTGTCCCTCTGGTATCTTTTGTCCCTCTTTCATAAGGGGGTCAGACATGCATAGTCTCAGAATTGGTTCATTCTTGTATACAATAACTATTACTACCCCACAACAACTTAAAAGAGATCAGAAGTCAAATATTCAGTACGGTTGCCATGACAACCACTCATGACGTTTTTTGGCAAGTTTACATGACTTTGGAAAAAAACACTCAATTTTGGGTCAATTTCTGTCATTATTTTCTTATGATGTAAAAAGGATAAGATAGCAACATTGAATACTCATAGATAACAAAGTCTAAACATAACATCAGTATATCTATTCATACATCTCATTAGCATATAATACGCGATCAAAGGTGTCTCCCTTTTCATAATTTCAAAAAGTCAAATTTTGCATGATTTTCTAATATTGATATCTAAAAATGCACCAAAGCTAGGATAAAGTTATATTTCATTTTGAATAACATCATTATTATGTTATCCAAAATGTATAAAAATTCAATGGGGTAACGAGTATTTAGTATGAGATTTGAACCAATGAAAACTCCCATCAAGTCGCAGATTCTCTTTGCCTTGACATATATCAGGAATATTTTTATTCATAATTTTTACATAAAACTTGCATATGGGGTATGCAATGAAAAGGTATGAAGAGAGCAAAGTTCAATATTGAATTTCAGATTGTTCAATCAAAGGTCAAAGGTCAAGGTCAAAGTTGTAAAATACTGACATATTTGACAAAACTAGTATATCTCCACTTATAATCTATGATGCTGTTGATTGTTATTATACATTTATGATACTGCTGAAAAGTGAAAAAAATCCATATTAGAATTGGGTCAATTTACAATCTTCAAGGTCAAAGGTCAAGGTCAAAAGTAAAAACAAACTATAATAATTTATATGACTTCTATTTTATAACTGGCCTTCTTGATATTTTAAAACAATTTTCTTGTTCTCTGTAGTGGATCAGATAACGCCAAATAAAAAACAAAAAGATAAAAATGGCTTTTGTGTCAGTTGTTGAAAGATCAAGGTCAGATACCAAGATCAACAGTATGAATTCATGTTAAATATTACAAAAGTGGTTCGTCTCCACCGATATACTTGTGAGTAATGGATTATAAATGTATTTTAGATATTGTTACAAATGAAAAAAAAAAAGATGTAAATACTATTTGCGTGTAGAGCTTATCTTTTAAGAGCACCTGAGATCCCCCCCCCCCCCCTGTTTTTGGTGGGGTTCCTGTTGCTTTGTCTTTAGTTTATTATGTTGTGTTTGTGTACTGTTGTTAGTCTTTAGTTCTTTTTTTATTTCTATTTTTTCCACGGCATTGTCAGTTAGTTTAAGACTTCTGAGTTTTAATATCCCTAAAGGTCGTTTGCCTCACTTGAGCCCATGTAATAAAACCAAGATCATAGGTCAAGGTCAAATGACATGATCAAAAGTGAAAAAAAACTGAGAGTATTTGATTTAGATAACTGGTCCTTCTGAGATTTTCAAGTTTTTTTTGTTCTGTTCAGTCAATCATATATGGTCTCATTAGTTTAGTTCCAACTGACATATTAGGTCAATAGTTCAAAGGTCAAGGTCAATGTAATGAAGCAGTTTTAATCTTGACAACATAAGATTAAGGGTCAAATATTAATGCTAAAAATAGACAAAAATATGACTTGAGGGTATAAAACCTGATTATGTATATCTTTATTTAGTTAATAGGAAATATGCGATATAATATGTGAATTTTTTAAAATCAAAGTTAAGGCCAACATGTTTTAAGGTCTTGACGGATCATAAGCTAGAGTTGCACACTGCCCTGTTTGAGGCATCTTTTATCATTTTCCTCTTCAACAGATCTGTAATCTTCAGGGTTAGTCTTTCAATCTTTCAATGCCAACTCTGCCTCAGAGTACTGACTACCACATGTATCTTTGCACTTGCTTTTTGTTTTGACTATTCTTTGACTGCCTATCAACCTCTGTCACTGTATCCTAGGAGATACAATGCCTAAGACATATAGCTATAAGAATTAACAAAATTGTCTAAATGTCTATTTGATGATGTTTTATAAAACCATATTTGCTTCAACTGCTTGTGCTAATTAGCAAAACAATGTCATTTCTATGTTGTTGTTGTTAGTAGGTCTTATAATAAAATAAATCAGCATAATTTGATAACTTTAAAGTAATGTCCAGTCAAGATGCAAAATACCACATATATCTTTTAGTATATTTCAGATACTTTGTAATATTTGTAGCTTTTTCACGTGTGGCCATAGAGAGCGTGACAATGAAGGTACACAGTATTAAGAAAGACAGACTTTTTTCTTTTAGTTATAGAACAGAGGCCAAGTCGCGATTTTTGTCTTGTCGATTGAAACAATTCAGACAATATAGTCTCTACCGTAAGGCTAAGCAAAACAAACATATCTTGTGTTAAGATTATATTTAGATTTATAACTTTGCAATAAAATAACATGATACATATAATAAACAGATTTTGATACATGCTTCAAGCCATGCACATGCATTTAGAAAGAACTTGTCTCTTTATCCAACTGTCCTGTCAACAACAGCCATCACCTTTACCTCAGGTAAAGCTAAGTTTGATGCATAATTTATCTTCTGAATCCTGACGTAACGGCCATTTATTATCGGATTGCATTCAAAGACCAGATGGGCTCCTGTCTTGGCTGGTCCTGTGTAATAATTACACCGCGTCATCTGATTATAAGATGGCCCAGCAGTAATATCTAACCGACGGATAAGTGTTCCTGTAATATAAATCCATGCACTTAATTCAAATAAATAAAGAAAACATGCACTGAAGAGCTACTTGTGTATTCATACATTTTGTTTTGTAAGAACATGCGTGTTTGAGCTTGTAGTTAAACTGGAAACGCTCTGTAATAAAAGAAAACTTTTCATATGCAAATCTTTCAAAAAGATACAGGGAAAAGTAAATGAAATGATTTCAAAGCACTAGCTAACAACGAATTATTCAATAAAAGAGAACCTTTATGTGTCCCTCCCTGAAATGCAGTATTAAACTGAAGTTTTACGTATTTTACATAGAGACTTATGGAAACCTCCAGTGAATCAGTAAACTCTCATTATAATAGGGATAGTTCATTCAGCTTCAACAACTTGTTAATTATCACACTTTGTACATATTTGTGTGAAAATTACCTTTTAAGTTTCATCAATTAGCCTAAAAGAAACTCACATTTTAAGGGAACAAGAGTCATAAATGGACCGAAAGGTACCTTTATGAAGACAAAGCGGTGAGTAAGAGATGTTTATCATCCTGCAGTCATCGTTTTCATCCTATTCAACTGTTTCTATGCAGATGCGAAGACTATTTGATCATTTATTGGTTACACGATATTTTATCATGTCGCGGCGTGATTTGGATATTTCAAAGAAATTCTACTCAAATTGCTGTATGATATTGTCTTACATTACTCGATTTTTCTCTAAAGCTATTGATTATGACAAAACTTGACCGACAGTAATGCTTGCAATGACCAGTATCAAAAATCCACATTTATGTCATCCCTATAAAGGTCATCCGGAATACCCTTGTAATGAGTCATCGTAGCAGAGTAGGTGTGTTTGAATGAAAAAATAAACATGTGCTTCTATACTTGTTAAAAGTTTAAGGTGAACCTTTTTTCTTAGATTTCCTTTTTTGCATTGACCAGGGATGGGGTAATCGTAATCTGTAATCGTAATCGATTGTAATTGATTACATTTTTTCCAGTAATCGACAGTAATCTGTAATCGAAGATATTTTCGATTACATGTAATCGTAATTTAATCGATTACAGCAAAAATTATGATGTAATCATCGATTACTTTTCGATTACATTTCGATTACTTTCAAATTGGTAAAATAGCTTGATGAAATATAATCTATTTTATATGAAAGTATGTATGTATTCATCACTTTATAGTACAGAGAAAAATAAAATGTATTGATATGACTTAAGAGTTTATCAAATGCCTTGTTTCTATCTATTGGCTCCAGCTGCTTCAACCAGATCTATCAAATTATACTGTATATCTAGCTTTTGAAACAAATGACTTTTCTTGCTGGTCAATAATTTAAGACCTTTTATATAAAAATAAGAAAATAGATTTAAATAAGAAATAAGTCTTAAGTTAAAATCTGTACTATATTGCAGTAGTAAGCTAATTTGTATTAAAATTACTTAAAGCATAATTTTCAATAATAGTTGGAATTTTAGCTTAGAATAGATAAACATTTGATTCATTTTAATGTTATGACAAAAAAATTACAAAGTACACAAAATCCTTTTGACAATGAACCAATGGCTATGCATTAAAATTCTTGTTCAGAAATAGAGATACATGTATCCAATTTTTGCACAAAAAATATAAATTGTTTATAATTTTGAAATGAGAATACAAAATTCTCAACAAACTTCTTGTCTTTACTAATCAGATGAACAAAGACTTCTAATCAATAAGATGAAGACTTTGTTTTGATTTCAATTATCTCTAATTAAGAGGAGATTTACATTATATTGCCCCAGGTTATAATTGTACTCCATTGGCAGTATTATAGCCTGTAATTAGGGAGGTTGTCAAAACAAAAGGATTAATTCATGCATGTAATTACAAATCATAAATTTTCATCTCTAAAATTAGCTGAACTAATTAATTATTCTACTTTTTTATAGTTTTTTTTTTCAGAGTAAACTTTCAACATTGTAATGAACTATATTCAAATATAGCTGTTAATAATGAGTAAAAACAAAAAACTTAACTTTAGTCAGTATGACAGCAAAAATTTGCAAAAATATGGAGATAATAACCTAAAATATAAAGAAGTGATTGATGCAATGTGATGCCATTGCAAGAACTTTATCACCAATAATCCATATTGAAAACCAAAATTTCTAGAATTTTGAATATTTCGGATCCTTAGACAGTAAGAGCTTCCATCTAGAAAACAACTGTCAACATAAAATTTGGAAACAATGCTTTAAATGCTTTTTTTGTAAAGTTCAAAATTTCCACTATACATACACTGAACAACATAATTGACTTTGTGTTTAACTTACTTTATTTAATTTGTAATTTTGTAGCATGTAATTGACAGTAATCGAAAAGTAATGTAATTACTTTTGCTAAAGTAATCGATTGCAATCGATTACATACAAAAATCAGAGTAATCCATTATTAATCGATTACACAAAAATCCTTCAAGTAATCGATTATCAATCGATTACATTTGTCAGTAATCGTGCCCATCCCTGGCATTGACACATCATCAAAGTAGCATTTAGGTATATTAATTATCGTCTTAAGAAAACGAACCTTTATCTATTATTTTTTCAGTCACGGTAATTGCATAAATATTTTCATGGTTTACCTTTGTTTTTCTGTTATCCGATGAAAAATCAGCTTACAAATAATTTGAATCACGACCTACATTTATTTAAAAGGGAGACAACTGATGTGTTTTCTTATTGAAAATAGTGTACTTAAATTTCGATCCGTGGTGAACGTTAGACATCAATTTCATATGTAAAGCACGGGATAAACATCTGTCGCACGGGAAAGGCACGATGGTTTTTTTTTTTTATTTTTTTCCTGAAAATTTAAGCTATAGTTAAACAAGTTACAGTATGTTCTAAATTGATACAGAGTTGACCGTTATTAGTTGAATATGAATATTACTCCTTTTATTTTTATAAGCAATTTTGGCACAACTCTTTGTCCGTAGTCAACAAAATTAATTATTCAACTAGTGCTGAGAAAGAAATAAAACTCTGATCCTTTGCCATTTTATCTAAGTCAAATGATAGAGGGTTGAATATTTATCCACGGCCAAACACTTGACAATGTTTGATGAAGTTGAGATGCAAAGACTTGTTAGCTCTACAATGTCATCAGACTTGTTTAGACATCTTCATGTTTGACCTCTAAAAGCACTCAAAGTGCCAATATGTTTTAACTTTTTAATCAATTTATAAATATTGAGTGAATGAGTAAGGCTGTATGGTGTCTACAAAAATTGTATGGGTGGACATAAGAAAATAGGCAATACTCTCAAGCGATGGGGTTTCTATTTTCTCCAACAACACGCTGTGCTAGAATAACTTAAAAAAAATAATACCCCCACCCCAGAACAAAAAGAAGATTTTTAGGTATCATTGTTTATACAAGAAGTAAATTAATTGATATTGGGTGACTAAGAATTTGAGCTGCCCTTGAAGCATTTGTTCTGAAATTGAGCCAGACCTAAGTCATAAATGCCTGTCGTTATTTGTACTGTATATACATGTAAATATATCCAATGTCATATAAACTTATTTTACATCTGTCTTTTTGAAATTCGTAGCAGCTTACCACAGCAATCTTTCCTTACAAATATTTCAACCCTTCTGATCTTGAATTCATGACCAAGATCAACCTCCCAATATGGCGACAGGTCGTCTATTGTGTGAGAAAACGTATTTAAATTTCCGTCGTTGGCATACCCAGGTCTATAATGCTTATATTGCGAACTCTGTCTAGATGCTTTTCCTTTGCCACATCTTGCAAAACTTGAACATTTGGTTTACCTGGAATGAGATAAATGACCAAAATCGAATCTCTACTTTTTGCGTACCAGCTGATTAAAGCTTCCAAAACTATGTGATTTAATTTGTACTTGTTATCATGTCGAGGTACAATGTGTGATGTATCGTGCATTCTCTTACCTCCTTAGTAACGTCGAATATTTTTTTTTGATTGGTGGTAGTTTTATGTTAAACAGCACGTATAACTTTCCTTTTTATGACCATAACATGATTAAAATACCAATAACAACAAAAATGAACCCTGCTTTGTCTTTGACCTATATGTCCGATTTCCTTTGTCCCCAATGTGGCGTGCTTAGAGGCGATGTATCTTATAGACATTATGAAATCTTTGGTATATACCGGTGTTAGATCGAATCTATGACGTAATGTAATTATCAGTTTCTAGGTTATTGTCAAAATATGAAGTAAATTAACTGGTTGATTAAAGAGTGCCTATTTTCTAGCGGCACATATATCATGCAAATTCAGGGCGATAACATTTTATTTTATTATACTTCACGTAAAAATGCAATATTTTGATTGGATTATACGAGGGTGTTAATTTACTCTATTCTATGGTAAATACTCTATTACCCTTCAAGGAGACGCTTGATCAAGTGTGCGCTTTATTAAATACGACTCTAATATCCTATGGCAAATACTCTATTACCCTTCACGGAGACGCTTGATCAAGCGTGCGCTTTATTAAATACGGATGGTTGTTATGTACAAGACGTCATGGTTTATTACTTTGAATTTGAAATTTAATCGACAGTGATAACAGAACATTCAGTATAATAAATTAAATAACACATATCTGAGAGGGTGATAGAGCAGATTGTTACCCCTCGAAAAGACATTGTCAACCTTGGCTTCGCCTCAGTTGACAATGTTTTCTCGGGGTAACAATCTGCTCTATCACCCTCTCAGCTATGTGTTATTTATATAGTGTCGGAACTTTAACGTGCTACCCAGGTATTTGATTTATCTGTCTCAATGAGAATATTTCAGGCTACCTTGATATGTAATCTGACTCCGAACCGATTATTCCTTAGTTATTCTCAAGTGTCGCATAATGTTAAATAAAGAAGTATTCATTTAAAGTCTCTTTTTTTTGCCTTTTTTGTGATTTAACTAACGAACTTGAGCACTCGTGTGAGTATCCAATCACTAGACTACAACTTAAATAAGCAAACTGACAACACGTAGTATTAACTTCAAATTTGTGTTATAAACACAACCACTTTACGGTCTGTCCTTGTTTTACAACACACTCCTTGGCAGTTCCAGCTCCGATCAGCTTACTACTCTACCCTGTTGATGTAGTAAAGGAAAATAATTCCAAAACGAAATCGATCAATGTACAGAGTTTGGTTTTACAACTGAAGTAACATTATTTGCATATGGTTTTGACCGGATATGCACTGTCAAAATACATTATGTAGTGGTCTAAATGTAAACGTATACATACCTTTTGGAAGTCTCTTCAGTATTTCTTGTAATATATTAAAATAGCGATTCAACGTTTCCGTATTGGTGTCTAACTTTTTTTCGATTGTTTGCAACTTCATTGAATCATATCCATTTGCTATTGAGAAATTGATGAGAAGAATAATTAATAAAATTTGCAATTATTACTCAGAAAAATATTGCAGATTCAGTGATACTTTTGTTGATCTGTTACTTTAGGAAACTGATGGATTCTTCGTATGAAATGTAATCACGCAAAATTGTCATTAGTTGTACAGGTAATACATATAGTATGTTTACAGAGTGAACTTTCAAATATCAATACAAGGACAATATAGTATTTATAATATATTTAATTTTGTTATTTAATTTCTTTATCTTTCCTACGCACTCTTTTATTGATGGAAGATATATATGTTTTCTCTAGTGAGGTTATGGATATTTTTTAAAGTTATTTCTGCTTAGAACTTTCTTATCTTTCTTCGTTTCGTAGAAGCTGTTTTTATTATACACAATACACCCCTGTTTGGCAAGGAATGATATAATTTCAAGGAGGAAATGTCAGTTGATTTTTTTTTGCAATTATCCCCGATTATCTCCGTAATTATACAGTGTATCTATTTAAGATGATGGGTTCCAATTTTCCAGGATTGGGAAATAATTATTGTTTAGTGTGTTCCTGAATTAAAGGTTCTGCCAAATTATACATACAAGTTTTTAGAAAACTTGTGTTTTTAAGAGTAAACTGAAATTTTTGGGTTCACCAAAACATACAAAGTCTACAAAAAAATCATGCAGTTCTCCAAGAATAATGATGAATACACAGTATTCTTATTTTACACATTTTCTATACAGGGACATCAAGAGGTATTCATAATATTAAACCCCGAAGTCTTGTTTAAAACAAATAATTCAAAGTTCATGTATTTTTTATTCAAGTAAATAAGTATCAATGTGACTTAAGATGATAAATGTTATTAAATGAATATTATGCTATGTCTGAGAAGGAGATGGATAATACTTATATTATGCATATCGCCTGTTATATATAATTTTTCGCATAGAGAGTTATTTCTCGTATAATACTGAACGGAGTGTAATATGAATAAGTGATACGGAAAATGCATTGCTATGGTTGGCCTTTCTTGCAATGAGTTCCGAAATTTCGACATTCCCATTTGCTATTTATTAGGTCAATAATGACTTTCAAAGGTTACGAAGGACTACTTTTCCCCCGTAGCAATAGGAATTTGTTATTTCTTCCATAATATACAAAACACTCACATGTATCATCCACTATATTCTTTTTTTCCAAATTTGATTGCATTATGAAACGCACAAAGAGCTTGAAATATCTGATGATAATGTTTGACACCAGAAGAAGCGGACTAATGTTTGACACCGAGAGCGGACTAATGTTTGACATTGAGAGCGGAAAATGTTTGACACCAAGAGCGGATAAATGTTTGACACCGATAGCGGATAAATGTTTTACACCTAGAGCGGGTGAATGTTTAACATCGAGTGCGGATAAATATTTGTAACCGGGAGTGGATTAATTTTTTACATCGAGAGTGGATTAATGTTTGAAACCGACAGCGGATAAATGTTTGACACCGAGAGCGGATAAATGTTTGACACCCAGAGCGGACTAATGTTTGACACCGAGAGCGGATAAATGTTTGACACCGAGAGCGGATGAATGTTTTACACCGAGATCGGATGAATGTTTGAAACCGAGAGCGGATGAATGTTTGAAACCGATAGTGGATACATGTTTGACACCAGAAGAAGCGGATAAATGTTTGACACCGAAAGCGGAAGAATGTTTAAAACCGAGAGCGGACGAATGTTTAACACATGGAGCGGATACATGTTTAACATCGAGTGCGGATAAATGTTTGACATCCAGTGCGGATAAATATTTGTCACCGGGAGTGGATTAATGTTTGACATCGAGAGTGGATGTATGATTGACAACGAATGCAATAAATGTTTGACATCGAGAGCGGACTAATGTTTGACACCGAGAGCGGACTAATGTTTGACACCGAGAGCGGATAAATGTTTGACACCGACAGCGGATGAATGTTTGAAACCGAGAGCGGATGAATGTTTGAAACCGATAGTGGATACATGTTTGACACCAGAAGAAGCGGATAAATGTTTGACACCGAAAGCGGAAGAATGTTTGAAACCGAGAGCGGATAAATGTTTGACACATGGAGCGGATACATGTTTAACATCGAGTGCGGATAAATGTTTGACATCCAGTGCGTATAAATATTTGTCACCGGGAGTGGATTAATGTTTGACATCGAGAGTGGATGTATGTTTGACAACGAATGCGATAAATGTTTGACATCGAGAGCGGACTAATGTTTGACACCGAGAGCGGACTAATGTTTGACACCGAGAGCGGATAAATGTTTGACACCGAGAGCGGATAAATGTTTGACACCGAGAGCGGATATATGTTTAACATCGAGTGCGGATAAATGTTTGACATCGAGTGCGGATAAATATTTGTCACCGGGAGCGGATTAATGTTTGACATCGAGAGTGGATTAATGTTTGAGATCGAGAGCGGATAAATGTTTGAAACCGAGAGCGGATACATGTTTAACATCGAGTGTGGATAAATGTTTGACATCGAGTGGGGATAAATATTTGTCACCGAAAGCTGAAGAATGTTTGAAACCGATAGCGGATAAATGTTTGACACCAAGAGCGGATAAATGTTTGACACCGAAAGTGGAAGAATGTTTGAAACCGAGAGCGGATAAATGTTTGACACCGAGAGCGGATACATGTTAAACATCGAGTGCGGATAAATGTTTGACATCGAGTGCGGATAAATATTTGTCACCGGGAGCGGATTAATGTTTGACATCGAGAGTGGATGTATGTTTGACATCGAATGCAATAAATGTTTGACATCGAGAGCGGACTAATGTTTGACACCGAGAGCGGACTAATGTTTGACACCGAGAGCGGACAAATGTTTGACACCGAGAGCGGATAAATGTTTGACACCGAGAGCGGGTAAATGTTTAACATCGGGTGCGGATAAATATTTGTAACCGGGAGTGGATTAATGTTTGACACCGAAATGGACGAATGTTTGAAACCGAGAGCGGATTAATGTTTGACACCGAGAGCGGATGAATGTTTGAAACCGAGAGCATATATATGTTTAACATCGAGTGCGTATAAATGTTTGACATCGAGTGGGGATAAATATTTGTCACCGAAAGCGGAAGAATGTTTGAAACCGAGAGCGGATAAATGTTTGGCACCCAGAGCGGATAAATGTTTGACACCGAAAGCGGAAAAATGTTTGAAACCGAGAGCGGATAAATGTTTGACACCGAGAGCAGATATATGTTTAACATCGAGTGCAGATAAATGTTTAACATCGAGTGTGGATAATTTGTCACCGGGAGCGGATAAATGTTTGACATCGAGAGCGGATAAATGTTTGACATCGAGAACGGACAAATGTTTGACACCGAGTGCGGATAAATGTTTGACAGCGGGAGCGGATAAAAGTTTGAAATCGAGAGCGGATAAATGTTTGACACCAAGTGCGGGTAAATGTTTGACACTGGGAGCGGATATAAGTTTGACATCGCGAGCGGATTAATGTTTGACAACGAGAGCGGATTAATATTTGACACCGAGAGCGGTTAAATGTTTGACATCAGAAGAAGCGGACTAATGTTTGACACCGAGAGCGGATAAATGTTTGACACTGATAGTGGACAAATGTTAGACATCGATAGAAAATTTCCGACGTCATACTATTTAGGTGCAAAAGACAAGAACAATTTTATACTGAATTAAAATTAAATTTTACACACAGTTTAATTTAAGAGATAAAGGTTTATTTCGTTACTTCAATATAATATGATAATAAAGTCGCCGAAGTCTCGCTCCTTTTGGATTTTCCCCCCTCATTTTTTTGATTTAATTTGCTACCTTGATTAGTCAAAACAATTTACGAGATTTAAACATTTTAAACTACTGTCGCCTAGATTTATTATAACTAGCGTATTGAAACTAAATAACTCGAGTTGATATCAAATGATTTCCCATGCTAACTCGTTATATGAAGCCTATAACTATTATATATGATCACGTCGGAATATAGTAAAGACATGACGGTCTGCTATGAAATGGATTTTAAGTAAGGATATTTCACATATCATACATAGACTTAGATGATGCTTGAATCTATCATTGTTTGCTGATAAACATCATAAAGAAAACAACACTCCATTTATCTGGTGCGTTTGAAGCGTCAAAAGCGGAAATGAAAATAATTCATATAGATTCTATTTAATTGATTTAAAAAATGTATAAAAAATCATAAGAACACAAATTGTCCTGTCAAAAAAGAGATAATTTTAAATTGGAAGTTTTAAAATGAATCTTAGTTGAAATGTAATACATTCATGTACTTTTAAAGTGTAATGAAGATGGTACATAACGAGTTCAAAAGAGAAATCACAAGTTTCCTGTCACTTTATACACTTACTTTTATTTGTGAATTTTTCTTAGTGCGATAAGATTGAATGTGTATATACTACTCTCACTGATAAATGTAAGCCAATGAAAAATTCTTATCACAATCATATAAAAGGCTTATTTAGAAATGTTTTACGTGTTTATAACCACAATTTAACTTTCTGTACAAGTATAGTTAGAGAATTTTTAATTGTACTAACCCCCCCCCCCCCCCCCCCCCCCCCCCACCCACCCCCACCCAAACAGTTTGATTAATCCTTGCAGGAAAGTCAAATCATCCGCTTCACTCTCTGGCAAAAATAAAAGATGTATCAACATCCGCTATTTTTTTTTAAAAACAACGGTTGTTATTAAACATTTATCATCAGTTGATCATTAAATTAACTAAGAATAAAAAAGGATTGGGTAATCCAAAAGAAGAAGTTACTCTACCAAGTGGACGGACTGTGATAAAGGATTTGGTCTGTAACTGGATGAAAGGATTTAAGACAGACAAACAAAAACCATACACATGCTAATGTATACACAGGCCAGAGGCTGAGTCTGTAGGATATATATGATATAAAAACAAAATTATCGAAAAAATTTAATTTATTCATAATCATAAAGCGCAAAAAATAGATTTTG